TTTTCATTTAGTTATTCGTCTTTGCTAAGTGTTTGCTGTTTTCCCTTAGTGTTGTAGCTTGTTATGAAGGATAATCATTGAGCATATGTTTTGTAGTTTTCCTCTGTCTTTGCCTTTCCTCCAGTGTTTGGTGTTGCACTTGTTCCTTTTCCTTTTCATGTGTGTTTTGTTCTTTATTGGGTGCTTGTTTTATATCTTTTAAGCTTTCCTGTTCCCGTGGCTTATTATGATTGATTACGAGTCATTTATATTTGAAATGTGGTAATATCTGGGTCACCTTGAATTCGATCATGTAACGGCTGGAGATTTTCTCCCATCTTTCTAAGTTTTTACCCCTTCTTTTTTTTATGCACGTTTGAGTGATTGCTTGTGCTTGTACTTTTGCATGTATGATGTAACTGTTCTTTTATTAGTGCCCGAAATACTCCTGCTTTGCCTGTGCTTAGCAGGGCATAACAACTAACCTCCTGCCTTACCTATAGTTGATTGTTTAGGTTGCAAAAGTAAAGCTTGTAGCTGCTTTTGGAATCTCTATGTGGTTGAAGATTAGTGACTTGCATTCCAATTCTTTCTAGTGAATCCAAGTTATTTCTTTCATAACCTTCTGTCATTAGTTTGGACAGCATGTTATATTTTGACTTGTTGAAGAATGAGCTCACCCTATTTTGCAGTTATTATCAGCATGTCTTTGTAGTTTAATAGCAATAAAAAAAATCATCAAATTACTTGTGAAGTAGTTTTGATTTTCATTCTGCTCCACCTTTTTGAGCTTTGAGTTTGGTCATTTTATGTGCTGACTGTCTTGCTGTTTGCGTGTAGTTTTCCCTTGTTGGAGTCCCATGTCTGGCAAGGTGAGTGAATATGCCTTACATGAAATTATACTTTCTTTGCGCTAACAAGCCCTGTACCAAAAAAAAACTCATTTTTAATTTGTAAGGGGCCTTTTGTCAACAGCTCATAATAAGGTATAAACACATTTTTTTGGGGAACGAGATCTAATTTTGAAAGCAGGCATTGGGTTGCTTTTTTTTATATAGCCTTGAGCTTTTCAAAACAATACAGCTTTTTAGGTTTCAACGATTTTATAAGATTGAACTTTAACAATTTCAAATGAGCTGCATGTAGTGTATTTTAAGTGTTGAAAACGAGCCTTGAATCTCACCTTTACTTCTGTTGATGTCTTCTCTCTAACCTTTCTGGATGTACAAGTTCATTTGCACACGTGCTATATTTTTTCCTTTTTTTTTTGTAGATTATGTCAGCAAACTTGTTTATGTTGAAATTCTATTAATGGATTGAGTTGATGCATGGGTATCTGTTCAGGTGTTTGAGAGCTTGGGCGCAAATGCTTTATATGGTTGTGGTGATTTCAGTGATTGCAGACAATGATATCTTTGGTTGATAAATGGACTGCTGTACATCTGTTGCTGCTTCACTCTATCTGCTCCTTGTGGAAATGTGGCCATTACTTGATATTTGCTAGAGTTAGGCTAGTTCTTGGTTTTACTTGAGGAAGTTGCTGTATTACGTGACTTTACTGGATTGTGGAATGTTTCTTGTAGTAGCGTTCTTCTCTAATATAATTATAGTTGTTACTGGTATTTTTATTGTTTGTTATTGAAATTAAAAAAAAAGCTGATTTGTACTTCTTCATATCATTTTATCTTATTCTTTTTCTTTTGTTTTGGTGCTCTTTTTGAACTGTTAAATCTGTTATTAATCTGCTCCCCCTTAACACCGAACCCCAAAGTTTTTGTGATGTGGTAGATGTTGGCTTTTGCAAATATGTTGAGATTGCATTTGCCAATGCTACTTTCTTTTCTCTTCCTTGACTACCATTTCCTAGTCCATCTGTGAAAGAAGTTATTATTAATTGAATACGCATATCTCAGTGTCCTTTCTACACCTAAATTGGGTGAGTCAATAGAATGGCTGTTGACTAGGGAGTTAAAATGATGGTCTAAAATTTTGTCAATAATCGTTGTTTTGACTTGATAGAAAACTTTTGATAAGACTTGTAGCAACATATGATCCAGCAGTCCAGCAAATCTTATATATTCCTGCCTGCCTGTTACTGTCAATTGGTTTCATTATTGCCCTTCCTCTACCACCTTCATCACCTTTCCATTGCTGCCATTCCAAAGTCCCCATTTACAACTATCAGCTCCTTTCTTTTCTCTCTGGGATTGAGAGCCACCAATACCTCATCAACAGGTATCTGATCCACAAAAAAGATCTCAGCTTCCACTAATTTTGCTTCTCTGTCACGCTGCCAGTAAATTTATCCAACCTTCCACATCTTTATTATGTCATGTTGCGTGTCCTACTACCACCAGCATGTGTTCCATTCTTATATCATTTTCCTTTTATGATCCTCAGCTAACCACTGGTTGCCATCAACTTGCTTTCATTCTTAATCCCATCTGGTATAACCAATGGTTTGTTTTCCACTCTTATTTTGCAGTCGTCTCTAGCTCTGATCTCCTTTTGCTGGGCTCGTGTCAGCAGTTCATAATGTTTCTTTGGATTTATTTTAGGAAAATAAGAGGAAGAGAAAGATGGTATAAAGGAGGAATTAGGAGGTTCTAATTAATCTGCTTTTTGAGTTTTTATTTTTAAATTGTGTTTTAATTTTTTAATAACAACCACAATACATTAATTCAACTGGGCTGGAAGGGCACTTGTGTATATCTTTCAATAAGCTCTGCTAATGTCATGATGGTAGGTGGCTGTTTTGTTTGACCTCTTCGTTAAAAGGTTTACATATATTTGGGAAACTAAAAGGGGCTAAATGTAGTACACTGTCTATAGTATCTTTTTCTTTGGTTATAAATTTTGGTGTTTCTTTCTTATTAGCATTTTGTTAAGATCAGATATAATTATGTGTGACCCTCTTTGCTGAGGAAAATTATGATTTAGGTAATTGTTTTTTGTTGGATAATACAAAAGGGGCTGCTTCCTGATTGGTTTTTAGAGCAGTGGGAATTGGAAATGTGAAAGTCAGGTGAAGAATGTGTTGTTCTTATACAAATGCACATATTTATGGTGACGTTTTTAGTGTCTCTTTACAGATGCATAAGTTCACATGAAGTAGATGAATATTCCTTTGTGACTTGACTTGGTGATATCTAATGTGAATTGCATTGGTGCCACATGCTGTAGGAGCATGTTCGTTTTGACGACTGGTGTTAATAGTTCAAAACCTTATTCTTATTGAGAAAGTTTTAATGGAAAGATGTCAATACTGACTTTTTGTTCTTTTACTTTGCATCATTGGCTATGCCTTGCGTGTTTAATACATTCTCTAACTCACCTTATCTTCCGTAATCTGACTTGTGGCCTTTAAGTTTGTACTGGATCTGGATATGCAACATAGGTGTTACTTTGTTTCTTTCGCTTGTGTTTGGGCAGTCTTATGTTTTAGAGTGTGAAAACTGTGTGATTAGGGATGAGAGTCCAGGCATACTTTATTGCACTGCTCCTTGGATTTTAATGATCATGTCTTTGAAGCAACTAAAAGAATGGGGAAGTGTTGATGTTCCCTTTGTAGTTATGCTTGCATCCCCACAGATGAATTCACTCGAACATTTATACATTGATAGCTTTGTTCTCTTGGGCTTTATAAGTGGATTTTGTATCTGAGCTCTTTCCATTTTATTTCTAGTTTTTGATTGATGTGTCTATCCGGGTTGTCGAGGTAGGTCAGACTTAAATCCTTGGTCTGAAAAGTGCCTATGCATGACCAGCTTTACTGAGTGCTAAAGCAATTATAAGAGCGGCATCTGTTGTAATACACTTAGCTGTCTGCTTGTGAGCATTTGCAAAGGAACAATGTCCAAGTTTTCTTTAATGTGGATGAGGCCACTCATTTCAATTGTTTGCTTTCCCTCCGTGTAATATAGTGAATTCTATTTATATCTAAGTACATTCAAGTTCGAAGCTATACCATACGCAGGCAGAGATGCTTACATCTGAGCTCGATGCCTCTGGATATTTCATATTTTTTGCTGGGGGACTGGTGCCATGAGAGTGTTGGTAGTTTGTGGAGCTACTGGACACCAAAATGCCTGTGGTACCTGCAAAAGTATAACTTGTAATCCATCTGCCTTGCCAAAATTGTTGCCCCTGCAGCTAATGACTTGAAGCCCGTCACATTCTGACACACTTATGAGCAGGACTTGAGCAATAGATAGAAATGCCTGTGATACCTGCAAAAGGGAAACTTTGTAATCGTTTCTGCCTCTGCCAAAATTGACGCCCCTGCAGCTAATGAATTGAAGCCTGGTCACTATCGTTGAGACTTATGAGCAGGATTCAAGCATAGATAGATACGTATGCCTGTGGTTCTTGCTCGGGGAAATTTTGATTTGTTTGCCCGTCTCAGTTCATAAAAGAACAGGTTGTGTTGTAACATTTCAAGTACTGCTGTGTACTTGGTCAGTGTAAAAACATCTTGCCATTGACAATTAGATGTATGTGGAAGCAAAAGCTGTATAAGTTGCTCATAGCGGCCTTTTAGGTTTTAGGCAGACTGAATCTGTAACTTGTACGAAAGCCTCGAGTAAATTATCCAACAAAGTTAACTATTGGGAGGAATTGACTACTCGGTACTCTTCTTGGCCGTTCAGTCTTTTTGCATGCTAGGGAGTCATTTTGTAGCAATAGTTCTTTGGGATTCTTTTTGGTCTGACGGTCCTGCATATTAATTGCTCAACTTGATGTTGTCAACTTGTCATTCACGATTGAAGTCACACCGTGAGAGGTTAGAACTCTCGGCATATGAAATAGTTGCCTCGGAGGTCTCTTTAGTTAACGGGGTTGTTTTACATGATCTCATGATTAATCCTGTTTTTATTTTGTCTGGACGCCAAAAGGGCAATGAATATATATATGATACGTATTTACCTGTAGCCAGCAACGATATGGTGGCAGCGATTTACTGCTACGTGAACGCTTGCTTGTCCGAGTATGCCGCAATCTAATACTCACAAAAGCAAGTGTAAACCAAAGAGGGTATGCTACTTAAGTTGCCTACTTCCAACTTCATAATGGTTCGACAAGTTGCACTAGTATGCAAATGAAAATATTACACCCACCCAAAAAGAAATCTGATTACTTGTGATTGTTGTTTGTGTCCATTTGTTCTTAAATTGAATCTGCAAGAAAGACAACTTTTATTTTTCTGAGTTCATTTAAAGCACCTCTTGCGTCTAGGCGCTGCTCTGGTGATTCAGCACTGCACCTCAAGGCCAATTCCATGACCGATAATGCACATTGCACCTTTTTGTTTGAATTTTCGTCCCTCAGAGTAATTAGGTTGCTATCAATGAAATGGGTTGCTGAATTTTGCAGCGCATCCATCACCCAGTCCTTCAATCCGCAATCTTCGCCAAACATTTCATCAGTTGGCCTCTTTCTTGTAAAGGTTTCCATCAAAAGAATACCAAAGCTGTAGAGATCACACCTTGTGGATACTACACCCTCAAATCCATACTCTACATTAAAAAAAAAAAAATATCGAAGTCGTATCATCTTTGTCAACCAGAGCAGTTAAGACTTGGGGACATGAACAGAACTACAATAAGAGCAAGAACTTCCAGATTAGGATAGTAAAGGTGCATAAGTCTAAGTTCTATTGGTAGAAGTTTTATTTACCTGGTGCAATATAGCCAATTGTTGCGAGTGTCTTTGTTTGTGCTGTAATTTCACCTCCACCAAGTAACTTGGAAATTCCAAAATCGCTCAGGTGACCTGTCATATCTTCATCTAGCAAAACATTGCCAGGCTTTAGATCACAGTGCACAACTGGAGATGAATAACCATGATGCAGATAATCCAATGCAGAAGCTACATCGATCATGATATCTAATCTTTGCAAGAAATCCAAGGAACAGTCGTAAGAATGCAACCATTCCTCTAGGCTCCCATTGGGCATATAATCTAAGATTAAAGCTTTGAAATCTGGGTTGGAGCAGCTACTGATGACTTTAACTAGATTTCTGTGCCGAAGATTGCGCAGAACTTCACATTCTGCTTCAAAACTTTTGAATCCTCCTTCTGACTGCAAACTGAAAACCTTTACTGCGAATGGTGCCCCATCCTCCAGAACCCCTTTGTAAACTGAACCATAACCCCCTATTGCAATCAAATTGCTTTCACTGAAGTCATTAGTTGCCTGCTGGAGTTCACGGTAAGATACCCTTTCATGCAAAATCGTGGGGAATAACTCCACTTCAGAGGTATTTGCCCTCTTTCTCCTCTTCTTCAAGATAGCCAACAAAATGGTGATGAGGATAATCATCAATGCTGATGGTATCAGAGTGTATGCCACTAGACGCAACCTTTTCTTCTTTGATCCATGTGGTGAATGGACGGTGCAAGGAGGGAAGTGCAATGAAGGAGGACCTCCACATAATGCTTTATTTGACATAAAAGATTCATATGTGAAGTTGGCGAAAGAACCATTTAATGGAATCCTTCCCTGTAGCTCATTGAATGACACATTGAAATATTTTAACTGCAAAAGCGATTCCAATGATGTAGATATTTCGCCTGTGAAGTTGTTATTAGATAGATCTAATAATTGCAAACTTAACAGGTTGCTGAATGTCTCTGGGATAGGACCTTGTAATTCATTATGTGCCAATGTGAGACTGATCAAGTTCTGGAGACCTCCTAGTGTTGTTGGAATGTTACCTGAAAATTCGTTCTCTGCCAAGTCAATGTCTAATGCAGCCTTCAGATTCCCAACTTCGGGTGGTATATCACCAATGAAAGAGTTTGAGCTGATCTCTAAATATAACAAGTCTTTCAGCCTTCCAAGGCTTGCTGGGAATGTGGAGTTCAGTCTGTTGGAGTACAAATAAAGTTCTCTTAGAGAAGTTATATTTCCAAAGCAATCTGGCACCTGACCACTGAATTGATTTCTGCTCAACTGTACTATAGCTAAATGCCTCAAAGTGCACAGATGGTTCGGAATGGACCCTGATATTCTGTTATCTTGAAGATCTAATCCTTGAAGATTTGATAACCCTTTGAGGGTATCTGGAAGTGGTCCAGTGAAGCTGTTGTTACCAAGACTCAACAGTAACAGACTGCTAAGGTTACCAATTTCATGTGGAATATTGCCCTTAATTCCACATAATATTGCATAAAAGTTTTGAAAAGAGCTACTAAAATTGCCTATGGTAGGAGGAAGTTCCCCACTTAAGGGGTTTTCTGATATGCTTAGAAACCTTAAATTTCTGCATTTTGTCAAAGATGTAAGAAAGCTGAACTCTGACGGAGAATCAGAAGTGAAATGGTTTCGTTGAATATTAAGATACTCAAGGAACCTCAAACTGCCAAGTGATGTAGGAATTGAACCAGTAAATTGGTTCTGTCCGAGTTCCAACTGACTTAATTTTGTAAGATTTGAGATCGAGTCAAGAACAACTCCACTTAGTTTATTACCACCAAGTAATAACCCTTCAAGGTTCGGCAGCTGTTGGTCTATATTAGGTGGAATACTCCCTGAAAGGTTATTCAATGTAAATGAGATATTTGTCAAGGTTGAAATGTTAAATATAGATTTGGGAATGGGACCACTTAAGAAATTCATAGTGAGGTCCAAAGTCCGTAATTTCTGAAGATTGCCAAATTCTGCTGGAACTGGGCCTGCCAAAATTTGAGAATACACAAAAATTAGTTTAAGCAAATGCGGGCTGCAACTGAGTATTTGTCTCGAGTGTAAGTCAGTAATTACCATTCAGCAAACAAAACGCCATGTGCAACACCTCTAGATTCAGGAGATTTCCTATCCCTGGTGGAACTGCACCTGCAATTGTTTGCACGTAAATAATGAAAAATGGAAACCCAAAAATGTCACATGCCAATCAGTTTCTACGGAAAAGGCTGATTCCAGCAAATCTAAATTGGGAACTTCAATATTCTTCCATGGAGGAAAAAGGAGGTCATTATACCATCATGTCAGCAATTATAGAACCAGGAACGTTTTCTGCATGATTCAATGATTATGAAATCGCAAGCATGAAAGGCTAGATATATAGGAAAAAGTATGGCTGACACCCCGCCCCAACAGTTATTATCTCTTTTTTGACAATGCATAATACTTGTTTGAGATAAACTTCAAGAGAAACTATGGACATAGAGAGCTTATATACATTCAGAATTAGTTAATAAAACACAGCTGACGCTCATGAAGACACGTACCTTCAAACATGTTATATCCACAACGCAATCTGCTTAACATTGTTAAGTTTCCAACCTCTCTTGGTATTTGTCCACTGAAATTATTCATGGACAGTAATAGACTTTGAAGCTCCGTGCAATTCTTGAATCGTGAAAGAATCTGGCCTGATAATAGGTTTCTTGATAGATATATTCCTTGAAGCTTTGGAAGCTTAGTGCAGATGTTCATGGGAAGAGTACCGCTTAAGCTGTTGTTGGTCAAAGTAATTACTTGCAACGACGAAATATTGAAAAGGGTCCGCGGTATAGACCCCATAAGCTCGTTATCTTGCAAATCTAAGATCTTCAAATTGCCAAGATTACCAATTTCTTCAGCTATAATACCTTCCAATTGACTGTAAGGAATTCTCATGTCCTCCAATTTGGAAGCGTTGAACAGGGAACTTGGAAGAATACCTGTGAAACTGTTATTTGCCAAATATAAGTATTGAAGATTAGGCAGAAAACCAAGCCATGAAGGAACCCCTCCACTGAACTTGTTGAAGCTGAAATTGATATAACTGAGTCTCTGCAGATGTACCAGCTCCTCAGGCAAGTTGCCTTGGAAATCATTGCCACTGATGTCGATTGAATTGAGAAAAGAGAGGTTTGCGACTTGTGGAGGAATGTTACCTTGAAGGCCTAGATGAGAAATGTTCAGGGCCACTACTCTTTGGTGGAGAGACGAGCATTTCACTCCAGTCCAGTTGCACACTGGGATTTGGTATATCCAGCTTCTTGACAACACATCTGATGGATCAAATGTAACATGGGATTTTAAGGCACGAAGTGCAGATTGGTCAGTTGTGATGGTCTTGGTTCGTGCTATGGAAGTCCTAAGGAGACATAATATTACCACAAGATGAAAAACCAAGCAGGTCCTGTCCATGTTAACTGGCAAGTTGACAACATGTAAGTTTCTAGGACTCATGATATATCTCTTATTTGCATATATTTGCGTTTGATGTGAGAAGATATGGAGCAGAATAGAGCATATTGTGGTCGAAATTCATCAGAGATATGTTTGGATATATATCTTTAGGCAGGACGATTGTGGTTACGTCTTGGCCAATCAAAGAAGAGCGCAAATACAATTTGGAAAGGAGTTTGACAGGAATTGGAGAGGTTTTTTCCTATCAACTATCAGCGTTTTCCTAGAAAGGAGAAAACAGAATATCCAAGGAACTATTCAATTTCCCTTCATAAGCGTTCTTCTTAGAAGATGAGTGGCTAGTTTTCTAGTCCAGTTCAATGTTCCATCTCCATCATTGGTTTTGACAAGTAATATTTGTTATTTGTAATTCCCTCGTATTCAAGTACTTATTTTTCCTTTCTTTTAATTCTTATGGAATTGATTACTGTTCTCGCTTATTGAAGTGGTTTTTGAGATTGCATATATTTCCTTCAAAAAAAGATTGCATATATGGTTTTTAGTTATTTCCAATCCGTAATTTACTAGTACTAGGGAGAAATAAGTCAAGTTAAATAGTTTAAACTTTCAAACATTTGTTTGGAATAAATTTTGTATTCTTTGTTTTAAGGCTGTTATTGAGTGAATGAGAATTGCTTTCAAATATTGAATTTGCTTGATACTAAAAGTTAGGTTTGGCGTTGGGTGCCGGGGAAGTGTGGTTCTAAATGAAAATTATTAAAAATTTCTAGGGCTGCAACGAAATTTTGTTAAAACTTGGGTGGCGGCTGCCCCTGCTGATCCCCCTGCGCTCAGCCCCAGTTTTGAAGGCTACCTCTGGCTGCAAATTTAAAACCTGTAATCGCCAAGACAGTCACATCATTGAGAAATAGTACATTTCTAAGCTGAGCCACAGGAGCTCCCAGTTTTAAGCAAGTTGCCTTCATTGAAGCCACTGGTTGCAATGTTGAAGTTCATAGCATGATACCAGCAGAATGTTAACCATAGCAAAAGCCAAAGAGTTAATAATAATATATCTCGATAACAAAACATATGCAAGTAGGGAACAGCAAATTAGCAGCACAGCTACGACATGCTTCATGTGGCACAAGCGAATCATTCCTCAAATTTATTGAAGAACCATCCTCTGGAATTTTCCCTCCTAAGTGATTGAATGACCGGTGCAACGAGAAGTTATTTAAGGTGCGCAAGACTAATAAAGATCTACAACTGAGGGGATATATATATATGCCTTATGTTTATCATATTTTTTTATATTATTCACAATTTTAAGAATAATAAATGTTTCAAAATTTGCGTCTCGTCGATACTGCGACCGATATGCTGAAACCGACGTGGAACGGTTCAGATCATGATCGCGACTTTAAACCGTGATTGTAACAGGGTAAAAAGCAATAACGAAGATCAAACAAAATAAAGTTGTTGTCCATGGAAAATTATGATTAGAGGGAGCCGTAGATTGTCATTTACAGAAACAGTAAAGGTACGTAGTACCTCTAATTGATCATGAATAGGTTCCTATCATCTAGACGTCATGTTGTAGGTAAAAGACATCCTGAATTTTCTTTTCCATTGGCGAGATATGAACTATTACATACAATTTTCTCAAATTTTTATGTATTTGTTCAAATTGTCAATGGTATCTGGGACTTTGTATGCAATGTACCACATTTTGTTTTCTCTCACCATGTAATCATTATCATTATCATTATCATTACTATATAAAAAGTATGAATGTTGGTTTTAGGGAGTGCAAGTGTAAGCACTTTTTTATCTTAGTTTTTGTTATTCCTAAATTACCCTCGTATCTTTTAATTAGAATAATTGCATTTTAATATGACACTAATTAAAAGAAATAAAACACCAATTGATTACATTTTAATAGTATTGGTAATTAGAATTAAAAATTGCTCATTAAGAACTATTTACCTACCCTTGGACTCCGTTTCAAATTACTATACGTATCAAAATTTTTTGATTGAAGTATGAGAAATTTCTCATTAGTCATTAGTTGAGATTGTTAAAAAAAAAATCAATTTCAAAAAATAAATATTCTCTAGAAAATGGAGAAACAAGGACAAGAAAATCCTTATTCATCCGTATATCTTCACACAAATATCGCGAGTAAATTTTACAATTACGTACTTTTTACCAATATCAAGAATTTTTCATGTTACATCCAATGGAAATTCAATATACAAAAAATGATGACACCTTTATAACTGATATAGCAATATTAAACTAGAAAAAAGAAATCTGAAATAGCACCATACGAATCATTGTTATCATTATTAGCAACCGATCGAAACAAGAGAAACTGAAAAAAAAATTGAAAACTATTTATAAAATGATATAAAGTAAATAGCAAATGAATTAAAAAGTTAGAATACAATTCAAAAAATACCAAAGACAACATCCATATCACTGATATCCAAGAGAAGACAAACATTGTTATTTACAATAATATGGTAATGCTTCATTTGTATTGGTTTGAGCAAACCAAATCCATCCGTCAAGTCAAAAACTATTTCCAACGATAAAATAAGAATTATAATAAGAGTAAATTTAAAATGGAGAATGATAAATTCAAAATGATATCCAAATTTGTTTTTGGTGATGTCCAAAATACCCTTATTTTTCTAATGATTAGATATATTTATTGTATTGCAATATTAGTGAATCATGGAAGCGGTTATGAAATGAAAAACTTTAAAATTAATTAAATTTCATTTATGGTGACAATTGTAATTAGATAGATTTAGTGCATTCCAATAATTGATATTAATGATAGCGGTTATGGATTAAAAGTTGGCAATTAAAAAGTAAAACACTGCAATATACAAAAACTTAATGTTAAAATTATTAATTGGCCACACTTCTCATTCCAATTTCATGATCATCAAAAAAATAATACTAAAATAAAAAATATTGTGCTCATATGAAAAAAGTAGACTTGTTGCTTTTGTTTCACATTGTATTGTGCTAAAAACATGAATAAAAGAAAAGGAAAATAGAAAAATTTCAACTATTTCTATCTATAAATTTTCAGTTGTTAGAATATGTAAGCCAAAAAAACTTTACATGGTGGATCATTTATACTCTATTATTGACAGCAGTAGAATTGACATAATACAAAGAATTCAAATCACATGTATGTTTATTTTCCTAACTTAATTATATTCTTCGTTTATAAAAATTGTGATGATTGTGGTTTATATGCAATAGAATAATGAATATACAATAATTTTGGTAAAACATGATAATATTTGATATGTTACAGTTATAAATCAAAAAGTGTTTGGTTCATGATTTCAAATTTAATCTTTAGGGATATGTCAACTACATTGGAATGTTTTCTGTCTCTTTTCATTTAATAAAATTTTTAATAGTAACTAGCTTAAAAAATAAATAATATAAAAATACTATATTAAGATGTTAGTGATCAAAATTTCATAAAAATTTTTTAGCATCTAAAGAATAATATATTTTAAGATATTATAATCACGTGCAAAGCACGTGAACTATTACTAGTGTTACTTAAAAAACTATTGTAATGTACGTTGAATATACCACTATATATTCAGATGTAGCATAAAAATAGATAGTGGCATGGAGATCAATACAAGAAGTGGCAATGGGAATCTCAAGTATTTTTCCACCCGAGAGATGGGCTTTTTCTTATAACTTTTTTACTAGACTGTTATTTCCATTTCTGTTTGAAAGATTCCGGCAGAAACTATTCATGGTCCTAAATTTACCAACAAGGCAAAAATTCGAATTGTAAAGATCAACAAATGCTATGTAATTCTAGCATTACTATATGTATGGACTCAATAAATAGTAATCGAATGAAACATCTTTGTTATGAAGATGTTCAAGCTATATACATTGTGTTGCAACTTGTTGAAAAGCTTTTACATTATTCAGGAACGGTTGCACCCCTTTCCCTTGTGGCAGTTTCCAGTGTCTTTCCTTGTTGAAGCATGTTTTACCTAAATTTTTTGGGAAAATTTTCTTATTAACACTAGGACATGAGCTTCCATAGTCTTGATTCATCGAAATGTAAGATTTTGGTAAGATATTTGAGGTGCAAATTAAGATGAAAGAGTATCGTTGTCATTGAGTTGGCAAAAGGGGTGAGAGAAGAATATACATATTATACTAATTTGTATAGATCGGCAACTTGATTAATGGAATGGAGTTTAATTTGGTAAGTAATTATGATCTGCTCCACTGATGATGGAGCTGTGAATCTCCATTCCTAGGGAGACTACTTTACTCACATAGAGAGCTGGGGAGAGTCGTTAATTCCTAATTGCATTCAAAGCAAAGTTTCTTTAAAGAATCACATTGCACAGCTATTAGCACAGTTGGAACTTGGGAAAGCAATGACCACAGATACGAGATGGTCATACACTGAAATTTACCTTAAACAAATTCCATTCCGTTAAGAAAATTTATCGAATGCATCATGCTAAGCAAGCCTTCTTCTACACAACTTCTAAGTCGTAGCCTGTCTGCAAGTTTCATTCCTGAATCAACATTCGATGAAGTTAGTTTCACTTTTGATTTTGTTTTCTGATGGCTTATACTGGATTTTGCACTCAAGCAAAGAAATTTTATGCATTTGCTTTACTTTTACTCGGTCTTTAAGAAGTGATGATGGAGCATGGAATCTTTACCTTTTGACAATTCACTTGGAAAGAAATTCATGTTTGATATTTTTGAGTTCATTCAAAGCATCTGTAACGTCAATCCTCTCCTCTGGTGATTCCACTGTGCATGTGACCGCCATTTCCATGATTTTGAAGATACATTGTACGATTTTTGTTGAATTTGCATCTGAGGGAGTTATCAAGTTGTGGTCCACTAGATCCAGTTCTGGATTTTGCAGCAAATGCCTTACCCAGTCTTTCAATCCACAATCCTCTGTGAACATTACATCAGTCGGCTTCTTCCTTGAAAATGTTTCCATCAGCAGAATGCCAAAGCTATAGACATCACAACTTCTCGACACCTTACCCTCAGATCCATACTCTAGTAGAAATTATAATAATCACAGTTAGTATCCTGCTTGTTGAGA